TCTTTTCTTCTTCTTCTTCTTCTCCCCAAAGTCCCCACTGCATAGTTGTATGTTCTAGTTGCAGGTCCTTCTGGTTGTGCTATGTGGGACGTCACCTCAGCATGGCCTGATGAGTGGTGCTAGGTCGGCGCCCAGGATCCGAACCCATGAAACCCTGGGCCACCGAAGCAGAGTGTGAGAATTTACATTCAATCTGTAGATCAACTTAGGAAGAACTGACATCTTAACATATTGAGTCTTCTTATCCGTGAACTTGGAATATATCTCCATTTATTTAGATCTATTTTGATTTCTTTCATTAGAGTTTTGTAGTTTTCCTCATATAGGTCTTATGCATATTTTGTTAGATTTAAACTTAAAGATTTCAGGTCATGGTGTTTTTTATTTGCTATTTATTGTTGTTATCAGTAAAGTTAAAATTTTATTATGAATTTTACCATTCATTTTATATCATGCAATGCCAGTTTTAAATGCAAATATAAGAACATCTAACTCATATATGGAATCACCAAAATTATACAATTGTACTTCACAGCTTGTGCAGGCAAGTGTATTTCGTTCTAGCAAGAACAGTAGAAAAACTATACAAAATTAGTTCAACTGCTTTTATTTCACTTCTTGATACTCTCATTCTACCAACACTCTCTGTCTTCAGCTTATTGATGAGCAAGGAAGGGCTGAAAGGAAAAAGAACTGTGGCTTGCCCTCTTTCCTTTTCCTTCTACGTCATCATTTTCAGCATAAGTGGTTGGCTTATATGGAGAAATAACGAGTAACAAAGATATGTTAGCACTCCTGGTTGTTCATGTGTCTTAGAGTGCCATTGCCTTTCTTCTGCATTTGAAAAAGTTCTGATTCAAGTGGAAAGCTTGGCCCTTCAGAGCAGTCAGCACCCCTTCTCACTCAGTCAGACAGAACATGCTTACTTTGTACTTGCGTTGGGTCTTGCTGAACTCCCATGCAATGCGGGCTCACTGGAATTCTGTGCCAGTGAGCATCTTGAATGGGATGCCAATGAGGTGGCAAGGAACAGCGTGAACGTGCATCTTGCACGTATCTCTTCTGCTTTTGGGCACCCTCTATTATCCCGTTGGACTTCACTTACAAAACACAAGTTCAAAGATAAAATTATTAAGAATTTCAAGATGGCAATAGCATAGCATTAAACCAAACACAGGGCCCGCTGAATGTGGGTTCCTGTGCATGCACAGGATACATGACCCTGAAGCCAGCCCTGCTGATAGCTGAGGAGCAGTGGAGATACATGACAATGCAGCTGACCACAGAGGGAGGTTAACTAACTAGAGAATACAAGAGACTTCAGCTGGAAAGGACATAGAGTTTATCTCTGGTTCAAGAAATAGGCTCCAAGTGTAAAGCAACTGGCCACGGTCAATTGGTAAGTAGTGGTATGGGGACCCCAAGCAGCATTGTTGAAATTCACCATGTGAGGTTGTTTCACTCTTCCTATTCCCTAGATTTTGGGTCTGCTGGCATCCATAAGTTTATGGAGCTTGACTTAACGCTTCCGGAAATATCCAGATTTACATACTGAGAGTCCAAGCCAAAACCCAAAGCAGCTATGACTGTCACAGATATAGAAATACCTTTGGTTACTAAAACTTGTTGAAGGCAAGACTAAATTCAGCTGAGTTACAGTGATAGTTTTTAGTATTAGGCATTAGTCTGCTGGAAAATAGAAAAGAAAGCATCTTCCTTCATGGGGGAGAAAAGTGATTGGTTTGTGCGTGTTCTTGGCAGCACTTTTTGCCATCTGAGCCAAGCTCAGATGCAGAGAGAATATGAGATTCAGAAGAGACTCAGAGATAGGCTTACCCAGTGGCTTTTTAATTGTGCTCTGTGGAAACCAAGGATCCCACAGAAGTGCTTTAGGGGATCCACAAACATTTGACTGAATTTATTTTTAGTTATTTTAAGAACTAAGTTAGAAAATGCACACTACTCAAATGTGTTATGGATCAAAGTTTGTTGCAGTAGGGACCACAGACTGCGATCTTTTCAATTGTCTCATGAGGAAATGTTACACATTTCAGCTTATAGATAACGTAGATATGCCCCTTTTATCTGCTTTACCTATTGGGAAGCCATGTGAGACTTTATTTTATTAAGACGTTCCCTTGCATACAAGGAAAGTTTGAGAAACACTGATATTCATCTTCCTCCACGTAAACCTCTTAGAACAGTGGCTGGATGCACAATAGATGCGCAACAAATATTAGCGCTTACGATAGAGATGGAGATACAGATGGAGATATTGATTCCCATGTTGACCAAGTGACTTGTACAACACATCCAGAGATTTGGCAGCACAGCCAGAATTCAGCCTGTGTCTTGACTCCTAGATCGTTTCTCTTTTTGCTCTACTGCAATTGCCTCCAGCTCCCATCCCCAACAAGGCAGCTAAAATTTTAACTCTATCAGCCATGAATTGTCTTTCTCTATTCTATTCTCTTCTTGGTCTTGGACCAAGCTTGAGAGAGAGAGAAAGGGAAGTGGAGGAGGAGGCAAGGGGCAGAAGGGGAAGAAAAAGAAGAGGAAGAAGGAGGAAAAGAAGAAGAAGAAGAAGAAGAAAGGGAGGGGAGGGGAGGAGAGAGTACTTCTGTAATATGTGTTTGCTTATCCCAAAGCCCTCCTACCCAGGAGATGAGAGCATGAGTTAAAAAGAGCCCCAGATCCCAATCAAAACCCCAGCAAGTTATTTGATGGATATTGACAAACTGATTCTAAACTTATACGGAGAGGCAAAAGATCCAGAATAGCCAACACAATATTGAAGGAGAAGAACAAAGTTGGAGAAGTGACGCTACCCAACTTCAAGACTTACTGTAAAGCTACGGTAATCAAGACAGGGTGGTATTGGTGAAAGAACGGACAAAGAGATCAATGGAACAGAATAGAGAGCCCAGAAATAGACTCCTGTAAATACAGTCAACTAATCTCTGACAAAGGAGCAAAGGCAATACAACGGAGCAAAGATAGTCTCTTCAACAAATGGTGCTGGAACAACGGACATCCACCTTCAAAAAATGAATCTAGACACAGACCTTACACATCCTTCACAAAAATTAACTCAGATGGGTCACAGATCTAAATGTAAAACAGCAAAACTATAGAACTCCTAGCGGAAAACTTAGAGTTCGACAATGAGTTTTTTTTTTTTTTGGAGGAAGATTAGCCCTGAGCTAACTACTGCCAGTCCTCCTCTTTTTTTGCTGAGGAAGCCTGGCCCTGAGCTAACATCCATGCCCATCTTCCTCTACTTTCTGTGTGGGACGCCTACCACAGTGTGGTGTGCCAAGCGGTGCCATGTCCGCACCCAGATCCAAACCGGTGAACCCGGGGCCACTGAGACACGGAACGTGCGCACTTAACCGCTGCGCCACCGGGCAGGCCCTGACAATGAGTTTTTAGATACAACACCAAAGACACAATCCATGAAAGAAATAATTGATAAACTGGACTTCGTTAAAACTAAATACATCTTCTCTGCAAAGACATCATTAAAAGAATGGAAAGACAAGCCATAGACTGGGAGAAAAAATTTGCAAAAGACACATCTGAAAAGAACTGTTATGCAAAATATACAAACAACTCTTAAAACTCAACAATTGAGAAAACAAACAACTCAATTAAAAAGTGAGCCAAAGGGCTGGCCCGGTGGCCGAGTGGTTAAGTTTGCGCGCTCTGCTGCAGGCGGCCCAGTGTTTCGTTGGTTCGAATCCTGGCCGCGGACATGGCACTGCTCATCAAACCATGCTGAGGCAGCGTCCCACATGCCACAACTAGAAGGACCCACAACGAAGAATATACAACTATGTACCGGGGGCTTTGGGGAGAAAAAGAAAAAAAATAAAATCTTAAAAAAAAAAAAAAAGTGAGCCAAGAGCCTTAACAGACACCTCACCAAAGGATATAACCAAATGGCAAGTAAGCATATGAAAAGATGCTCCACATCACATGTCATCAGGGAAATGCAAAATAAAACAACAATGAGATACCACCACACACCTGTTGGAATGGCCTAAATGCTGGTGAGGGTGTGGAGCAACAGGAACTCTCGTCCATTGGTGGTGGGAATGCAGAATGGCACAGCCACATTGGAAGACAGTTTGGTGGCCTTTTACAAAACTAATCATATTCTTCCCATACGCCCCAGCAATCATTATTTACCCAAAGGATTGAAAACTCCTGTCTGTACAAAAGCCTACACACCGATGTTTACAGCAGTTTTATCCATAATTGCCAAAACTGGGGAGCAACCAAGATGTCCTTCAGTAGGTGAATGGATAAATAAACTGTGTTACACACAGACAATGGAATATTTTTTAGCACTAAAAGGAAATGAGCTATCAAGCTGTGAAAAAGCCATGGAGGAAACTTAAACGCATATTACTAAGTGAAAGAAGCCAATCTGAAAAGGCTGCCTACTGTGCGATTCCAACTATATGACATTCTGGAAAAGGCAAAACTATGGAGACAATAAAAAGATCAGTGTTTGTTGAGGTTTGGGGTGGAGGGGGGAGTGGGGAGAGATGAACAGGCAGAACAGAGAGGATTTTTAGGGCAGTGAAAATACTCTGTATGATGTTATAATTATAATGGTGGACGTATATCATTATAGATTTGTCCAAACCCATAGAATGTATAACACCAAAAGTGAACTCTAGTGCAAACGATGGGCTTTGGGTAATTATAATGTGTCAGTGTAGGTTCATCCTTGGTAAAAAATGTACCATTCTGTTGAGTGACATGGTGCCTTCTGATAACGGGGGAAACTATGTATGTGTGGGAGCAAGGAGTATATAGGAAATCTGTGTACTTCCTTCTCAATTTTGTTGTAAGGCTAAAACTGCCCTAAAAAATGATCTTTAAAAAATATGGTTTTTAAAAAAAGAACCCCAGCAATATAGGAGAGGAAGGAAGCTGTGATAGAGTTCTGCTCTCAGAAACTCTTATCAGCAACCCCCCATGGCACTTACTATAGGAGGGGCGCTGTCCCAGGAGCCACAGGGCTTCAAAGGGTTGTCTTCAGAGCTCCAAATCTTGTTGCAGTGATAAGACAAAAACACATGAAAAGTTAAGTAAAAATAAAAGATATAAGTGACTTCCAAAACTGTGAGATAAGTAAACGGCATTAAATGAAAATCATTCACAAAAGAATCAAAACACTGCCTCTTTTCAAGTACACTATCTTCTCAAGCCTAATAATGCTACACCAAAAATACAGAAAACATACTCCTAGTGCCCCACCCAGTTCCTGAGGAGGTGGTAAGTACAGAGCGATGGGCAAGGGCGTGCCCTCTGGAGGGAAGCTGTCTTGGGTTAACTCCTGACACTCTAACCTGCTGTCTCTGTGGTCCTGGGCAGGTTACCCAACTTCTCTGTGCCTTGACGATCCCAGCCATTAAATAGGTAACAATGTACCTACCCAAGAGTTACTGTGAGGATTAAATGGAGGCGCTGTGAACAATGCTGGCACACAGTCAGGCCTCAATAAGTTTTAGTAATTGTTATTCTCTCCACTCTCTTTTTTCTGTCATGAGAATTCTGGGACAAAGGAACACTTAGAGGGTTCTGGGGTTCCTTCTGTGCTGTCACCTGAACTGTCACTTTACTTTCTAGCACAGCTTCTGTTCTTTCAGTCAATGTTGTAGACCAAAGAGAAGGAAGAATGTCTCCCATTTAGGTAAAGACACTTCCAAGAAATCGACTAGGGACGTAACTGAATTGGCCTTTGAAGATGATGGCCTTTGACTTTAAGGGAGAGAGGAGGCCTGGAGAGACTATTACAGTCTTAGGGATGTAGGAAGACCAATGGCAGGGGCTGGTCTTGTGGCCGAGTGGTTAAGTTCGCACGCTCCGCTTCAGCGAACCCAGGGTTTCACTGGTTCTGATCCTGGGCGTGGACTTGGCACCTCTCATCAGGCCATGCTGAGGCAGCACCCCACATAGCACAACCAGAAGGACCCACAACTAGAATATGCAACTGAGTACTGGGGGGCTTTGAGGAGAAGAAGAAGAAAAGAGAAGATGGGCAACAGAAGTTAGCTCAGGTGCCAATCTTTAAAAAAAAAAGAAAAAGAAAATCAACGGCAGCTATGGAAAACACCAGCCTACCGGAATGTGTCTTGAAGGAAATTAGGCCCCGCTGCAGACTCTGAGAGAAAAGTTAAATTTTTTGTCATCGCTCAAGAACCTTGGCTGACAGGGCAGCTGCCATCTTGAACATAACTGACCCCTGTGCCAGTGCTCCAACGACTCTCAAAACAGCAATTAAATGCTCTGATTTATTTCATTTTCTTCAACTTGTTTGTCAGAAGTATTCACGTGACCTGAGCCAACAAAAAAGGGCTGAGAAAACGCCATCTGACCATCGGGCGGATTGTGGAGAGATGGAAATGTCTGGTGAATGATTCCTCCAGGAAAAGCTGGTAAAAATATAAATATTTGTAGGCGTGGGGGAGATTAGAGAATAATGGACGAAAAAACACCTTTTAGATTTTCAAGCAACCAGAGCTCTTTGGTAGATCTCCCTAACATATTCTCAATGTGGGATTCATAGGCAGTGGAGATTTTCTGGGCTTAATCAAGGCTAAACATGTGAAGCTGGGTACCGGAGAGTTACTGCAGATATCCAATAAGATTACCTTTCAACCTTGTTCTGAAAAGAAGTTAGTCTTGTTAACTTGCTGTTTTCTTGTTTAACCTGAGGGGTGACTCAAGGGTCACAAGGATCTATGACCTTGTTTTACAGAAGAAAGAGAAGGCCTTCAAGGATCACAGATAATCAGCCCCCAGCTGCCGTTGATGCCCAGAAGTCAGATTGCCAGGGGCTTATTTGGAGTGAAAGGGGATTACCCCTTTTTTCTCCAAAACTTTTCCTGCCCAGCCCCTCAGCTCTATAACACCCCCTGCCTTCTTCTCTTGTTAAGGCGGATCTGAGAGAACCTATCCCCTGGGCTTCTCATTTTGGCCAATACACCTTTCTCCATCACCAAGCACCGGTAGGTGTCTCAGACATTGGTTTACTGTCGACAAATTTGAGATTAAGAGGTTCGGTATCAAGTGCAGCTGACAAGGAATGAGTTTGAACTAGGCCAGAAATGACCAGGCACGGAGTCACAATTTGCTATTTGTCACATTAATCTTTAGGCCCAAGGAATTTCTTGTCCATGAGGGATGGTTTTTTTCCTCCCTTCAGGAAGCCCATGGAACGTTGCTGGCTATGGCAACAAAATACCCTGAATTTTCTGTGACAATCCTGATTCTCAGTTTTCAATCCATGTTCCTCATAAAGGCATTTTTATTTGTCAGTCCTCAATTTGGGTCAGAGATGTGGTCTCTCTTCCAGATGTCCAGAGGACAGCTGCTTGTTTAGAGCCTAGAGGACAAGGAGGAGCCCGCAGCCCCCGTGAGGAATGAGTGAGTTTCTGACACCACCCTCCAACTCCACCCTGTGGCACTACACACAAATCTAAATTATGCAGAAACCTCACTTTTAATAACTTTGAGTCATTCATGCAGCCTGTTCTGAGGACGTTCTCCAACCATTCTTCCTACCTTCTTTCAGCAGATACTTAGTAGATTGGTCCCCTTCAATCAATGGGGCTCTGTCCTCTATACATCGATTCACTCTTGTCCGTGATGCAATTATAGTTTTCACAGTATGGAATTGGTCTTTATGGAACAGTCTTTCTAGACTGTAAATGCCTTCAAGGTGAGGCCTGGATGAACAAACGAATAAATGAGAAAAAACTAAAGACCGAAACCTCTTTTAAAAAGTTTAAAAGTATGATTAAAATGTCATTTAAAAATCTACATGGCAAATAACAGGAACTCAAGAAATGCTTGAATTAATGAATTTGTGTTTTATACATTGTTTTGAAGATTTCCCATTTTCTACCTAGATGTTAAGGTGATCATTGAAAAGAAGACATACTGATAAAATGAATAACTCCGCAAGCAAACCTGTCTTTAAAGGTGGGTTCTGCCCACACCCGACGAGGCTGGGCTGCCTGCTGGTAGTTTTGAATAGTGATGAGCGATTTGCCCAATTTCAGCCATCTCTAGCCTGCTCCCCCTTGTGGCCAGTGTGAGATGCTCTCAAGGTGGCTGGTTTGGGTTTCCTTCCCTTTGTGGCTTTCCCTCCTTCAGCAACGTGGTCTGACTTACAGATATAATCATTCACAGATGAAAACAAATCTCAAAACCAGAATATCACAATAGTAGACTTAGTCTAATGTGAATGCAGGAGGCGCTAAGGAGCCACCCCTTTTCTCCTGATCACTTCCTTCCTAACCATCTGCTACGTTCTTCAAGAATCAGCCCGGGGTCCACCCCATCCAGAAAGTGTTACCTGATTTCTTGCTCTCCGGATTTGGGGCTCACTTTGTGGCTTCGTGTATCAAGATGACTGTCACTCTGTCCGTCTGCCTACTGGGCAGTCATTCCCACTGGACTGTGAACAACTCCGGGGGAGGAGGGAGCAGGAACCATGTCTTGCATCTCTTTATTCCAAAATGTGTTTAGTGCCAGCGATAGAATAGATATTCAGTAAGTGTTGAAATAAACAAGTGGTTCTTGCCACTAAAAACTTTGGGCAAATGGCTTAGTGCCTCAGGTCTCAATTTCCTCTTTTATAAACTTAAGGACTTTGGATTTTAAGTCCCTAAAGAGTCTGTGAGTCTGACATTGCTTTTTATCCTCAGAATATTCTGTAAGATTGCTCCCCTTTGGACTTTTAGGTCCTTCTTTGTGGGGGCTTTTGAACGCCTTTTTGGTTCTATTGGGTTGTATGCTGCGTGTCATGGTCTGCTAATGTTGGAGGTGGGCTTGGAAAACAGCCCTGCAGTTACTAGAAAAGATGGAACTGAAGAGATTTCTTCATGGTACAAGTAACTGTATGAATAATTCTTTTTCAAAGAAAAACATCTATTCCATGAAGAGGTCAAAGAAGTTCATATTTACTTATTTTTCAACTTGAAGACAGTTCATGGAAAGTTCTAGAAGTAATTCTTCCTCTTGGCTCGAAGCTCCCTGTAGTCAATTTTCTCAACGTATCAAGTTTTAACAATATTTGACCCAAGGACCACAAAGCATTATTTAGTAAATATGCCGTTTGCGTTCAAGACATTTGAGGCTAAAAAAATGTGAAGAAATAACTACTCGGCTTCTTCCACCAAGGTTTATATTCCTACATTGACTTGATGAATGAACACTGAAAAATATATATGACTGTGAATCTAAGAACATTAACAGTTAGTACAGACTCTGTGTCCATAGAACCAGAGATCTAGAAGACATCAGCAAGGGCCTCATGCGGGCTTGGCAGTGAAGCCAAATGAGGATTTATTGTCTCTTCCCGTTTCTGTTTTGGTTTTGTGGGAATCTAGGTCTGTCTGAGGTGGGTGTGAGTGGGGTGCTAGGAGAGAACTGAAAGCTGGAACTTGCTTTCTCCTGAAGTAGGAACGTTCAGAAGAAGCGAGAATATTGGGAAGAGACTGTTCTTTTAGAACTGAGGTAAAAAAATTTTTTTCAAGTTAAACTAAACTTGGAGGCCTATGAATAGAATTGTATTAATTTAGGCCAGGAGGAATCTTCAACTAGTCAGGAAATAGAATTTTGAGTAAAGGGAAGAAAAATAAATATTTTAAGTAAGAGGATCTTTGTTAGTAATCAGGGGGGTTTTTTTGTTTTTTTTTTAAGGCAAGCCTCCTTACCAGCTTGAAAAGGTAGGCTGTTAAACTCCGTTACTGTAAAGTGGCCCCATAAAGAGGCCTGTATTTACCTTTCCTGCAGTCTCTCCAGGAATGTAGGTCCGTGTAAACCCGTGTGGACACGATTGAGTTTGCGGCTGGCAGGCTAGCTGGGAAAGAGTAGCTCCATTAAGATCATGAGGGTCTTGTTTTCTGAGGGTATTTTATTTTTGCTAGATAACAAAATCTAAAAAAAAACCCCTCAGCAAATATCTAAGTGATGAGGACTTTAGGCTGGTTACTTTTAAAACTGCAGGTGAGAAGCAGGCTCTGAGGAGCGGAGTTTGCTTGCCCTTTGTTGGGAAACATTTACATTAGTAAGGGAAACCTCCATCTGTAAAGATGCCTCCCTCTCTGTGCCAGGAAGAAGGGGATGGCCTTGTCTCTAGAAACTCTTAATGGGGAAGGCAAGAACTTAAGTTGGTTACTGTCTGGCAACCTCATGTGACTGATTTAGGGTGGTGGCTTCTGGCCTTTACTTAATCCGATTTGATTCTTATCTAAAAGTTGTGGGACTGCCCAGTGGCCAGACCCCACCTGCACTGATACCATTTTGACTTTTTTGCATGTTCTTTCCTTTGTCTTGTGGGGAGATGGCTCACATGCCTATGCCTTAAATTTAGCCTTACTCTCCACCCATGTTGGCAGCAGTAGCAGGGGCAGCAGCACCTCCTCCTGCCCGTGGGTCCTGTCCCCACGCAGCAGCCTGACTGCCCATGTGTCCTGTCCCCATGCAGCAGCCTGACTGCCCATGTGTCCTGTCCCCATGCTATTCCACACTATTCTCTAAATAAAAGAGCACTACTGCCAGACCTTGAGAGTCCAAGAAATCTTTCTTTCGACTCCTCAGCTCACCGACCCTGCATCATAAGGACGTTACAAGGAGTCATCTCGGATCTCTTATTTATCCTTGGCAATGTCTAATCAATTGAATTCATGTTGTTTTTGAGCTCAATAAATAATAAAAGCTTATTAACTTTGTGACAACAAAGATCTATTTCTTTAGTAACGTGTATGCATTTCCATTTTTTGTCTGTTCCAAGGAAAAGAACTGTATATTCATATATCAGAGCCATTGGTCTCCTTAAAGGTTTTGTGGTTTGACAGAACCTGGCATGTACGAGACCCTAAGTAAATA